ATAATGATAATGAATTGTCTAATTATTGGAGCTCTGTTAATAAAGAAAAAGGAAATAAACTAATCAATGAATTTTTTCAAAGGGCAAAAATGATAGATAATAAATCTATTAAATTTAGTCCTGTGGATGTATTTGAAAATCGAATTAGATTGTCTGATGATAATAGGAAAACAAAATACTTAACTAAAATATATGATCCTTTCTTGAATGGACGCGTTCGTGGAGAAATCCAAAAAGGCTTTTCACCCTTCATTCCAAATGAAACTGACACAACAAACTACATTTTGATAAATAAGATTCATGGTCTCCTTCTTTCTATTAATAGTAATGATCCAGAATTTGAACAGAAAATAGATCAATTTGATAGAAAATTATTATTAAATGAAATTGGTTTTTTTTTTAACTTAATCAGTAAATTTTCGGAAAAATCAGTATCAAGTTTGAATTTTGACGGACTTTATTTATTTCCAGAACATGAACAAGTAAAAATATATTCCGAAGAAAAAAAAACAAAAAGAAAATTATTATTGGACGCAATTCGAACTGATCCTACTAATAATACAATTTTTAATAGAAAACTATGTAGTGAAATAAACGAAATAAGTAAAGAAGTTCCTCGATGGTCATACGACTTAGTCGACGAATTGGCGGTATTGATGGACGCGAGTCCAAAGGAGTCTCAGATTCGTTCCCCAAAAGCTGACCGTATAGTTCTTTTTAATAGTAAAACAGATTCTAATGACAATCAGAATAGTGCTGAACCGGACAGAAATACTGAATTTGCTGTAGTTCATTATTCACGCGAACCAGATTATTGCCGAGACCTAATCAGAGGATCTATGCGCCCTCAAAGGCGTAAAACAGTAACTTATAAACTCTTTCAAGGAACTGCACACTCCCCTCTTTTTTTGGAGATAATGGGCGACTACGCGTTCTTGTTTGGTGATCTTGTCTATGATATCTCCCAATATTTGAAAGAATATTTCAGGAAACCGGGTACTGATAATTCGGAATTTTTGGCGTTTGAGAAAACGATAGAACAGAATGAGATAGAGGAAAACAAAGACGAGTCTGAAATAAGACTTAGACAAATCGAAGAAGCCTGGGAGAGCATTCTCTATGGTCTAATAATCAGAAGTTTTGTATTACTATTCCAATCAATATTTAGAAAATATATTCTATTACCTTCATTGATAATCACAAAAAATATCATTCGTATACTATTATTTCAAAATCCTGAATGGTCAGAAGATTTGAGGGATTGGAGAAAAGAAGTCCATATTTACTGCACCTATCAGGGCGTTCCAGTATCTCACACCGCGTTGCCAACAAACTGGTTCTGGGAGGGTATTCAGATAAGGATCTTATTCCCTTTTGTTCTGAAACCGTGGCACAATAAGGTACGATCTACTGAAAAAAAAAAAAAATCTACTGAAAAAAAAAAAGATCCACTGAAAGAAAAAAACTTATGGTTTTTAACAGGTTATGGAACACAAGTCGAATCGTACCTTGATGATCATGTCCCAAACCCTTTTTTATTTTTGGGTCCCATTTTAAAAAAAATAAAAAAACAATTGAAAAAAGATTTGAAAAATCGTTTTTTTCTAGTTCTAAAAGTTTTTAATGAAAGAAAAAAGGGGTCTCGAATCGTGTTAGAAGAAATCGAAAATAGGTTCAAAAAAAGAGATGAATTGAGTGAAAGCAAAAAAAATTCAACAATCAGTAAGAGTAATCCAATGATTGAGGAATCGCCCGTTCTAATTCAATCTATGAATTGGACAAATTTCACAGAAAAAAGGATAAAAGATCTTAATGTTAAAACAAAGACAATCTTAAAACAACTAGAAAAAATGACAGAAGAAAAAAAAGAGGGGGTTATAACTTTAGAGATTAATTTGAATTCTACCAAAACTACTTATGATGCTAAAAGATTAGAATTACTAAAAAATAGTTTGAAAATATTAAAAAGAAGAACCGTTCGATTAATCCGTAAATCCTATTTTTTTTTTCAAATTTTAATGGGAAGGATATACATAGAGATCGTTTTCTCTATCACTCGTATTATTATGATGTCTGGACAACGTTTTCTTAATATTATTGAATTAACAGACAAAATTGTAAATGTATTTATTTCCATTTACACTAAAAAAAAAAATGAACAAAGAGTTCATAAAACAAATGAAAGTATAATTCCATTTATGTCGATTATAGACAAATCTTGGAATATTACAGATATGAATTCACAGAATTCTTGTGATGTATCTTCTTTGTCACAAGCCTATGTATTTTTTAAATTATCACAAGTTAGTAATGGATATAAATATAAGTTAAGATCTATTTTTGAATCTCATGGAAGATCTTTGTTTCTTAAGAATGAAATAAAAGATTATTTTTTTAGAATACAAGGAGGAAGATTAAATTCCAAATTAAGACATAAGAACCGTCCCGATTCTATAATGAATCAATGGATAAATTGGTTAAAGGTTCATTATCAATATGCTTTACCTCAGAGCGGATGGTCAAAATTAGTACCACAAAAGTGGAGGAAGAGAATCCATGAACATCGCGTGGCTCAAAAGAAAAATTTAGTTGAATATGATTCATCTGAAAAAAACCAATTCATTTTTTACAAAAAACAAAAAAAACAACAAGTAGATTTATTAGAAAAAAAAAAAAAAATAAAAAAACAATATGGATATGATCTTTTCTCCTATCAATATATAAATTATGCAGATAACAAAAAATCCTATATTTATGGATATAAATCACCATTGCAAGCAAACAAAAACCAAACGATTAATTACAACATACCTAAAAATAAAAAAGAATTATTTGATATAATGGGCGATAGCTTTATCCAAAATTATATAGCAGAAGATGGTATTATAGATATGGATATGGAAACAATGGAAAAAAATCTGAATAGAAAGTATCTAAATTGGATGGGAAAAAGAAAAAAGAATTCCAAAACGAATCAGAAATTATTGACTCCGAGATTTGGGTTCTTTTCAAAATTAAGTGCATATAAGAAGAATCCTTGGATCTTACCAATGAATTTCTTTTTTGTGCAGTTTTATGGAAACAAAAACATTACTGATGTAGCCAAGTTAAAGTTAGAAAAGAAAGAATACGGGAAGCAAGCAGATCTCAAATCATATCTCTCAAACTATTATAGGGACACTCGGTATAGTATAACTAGATACAGGAAGGATCTAAATGGCGAACAAAATTTCTTACTAGATAAATATTTTGGTTTTTATTTGCACTGTAAGACTCCCGTCCAAGAAACACTAATGGATAATATCAACTTATATTGTCTCCTGGTTAGATTGAAAAATCTAAAACAATTTTTCATAATGTCTATAAAAAAGGCAGACCTCGATTTTGAAATTACGGCGCGTCTGCAGATGAAGGACACTTGTTATACAGAATGTAGGGACACAGAGGAATTGAGGGACAACCTAATGTTTTTTATTGAACCTATTCGTATTTCTAGAAAAAACTATGAACAATTTTTTATATATCAAACCATAAGCATATCATTGAGGCACAAACGTAAAATTTTGAAAAGAAACTATGATTTACTTGTTCCTGAAAATCTTTTGTCCACTAGACGCCGTAGAGAATTGAGAATTCTAATTTGTTTGAACCCACAGAATAGAAATACTGTGCATAGAAACACAATAAATGACACTGAGAAAAAACGAAATAATTCTTCTGAAGTTTTGACTCAAAATGAAGATATTGATAGCGATACAAAAAAACTAATGACTTTAAAATTCTTTCTTTGGCCAAATTATCGATTCGAAGATTTAGCTTGTATGAACCGCTATTGGTTTGATACACATAATGGAAGCCGTTTCAGTATATTAAGAATACATATGTATCCTCGATTGAAAATCTAGATTTTTGTTCTATTTATCATTATCATAATATTTCAGATATCTATCTGATATCTGATATGTGAACATATATATATATATATAAATAAATATTTATTTATATATATATATATATGTTCACATATAATTGATAATTGCAATAAATAAAATAAACGCGCACACGCATTGTGGGATTGATACGACTTCAATGATGTCTCCATTAGATAGAAATAAATCAATAGAAAAATGAATAAATCAAAATTGTCTTTTTTTTTTTTATTTTTTAAATACAAGACAATAGAATTTTTTATTTTTTGAATACATAAATATAGTATTTATTCTCTATTTGAATTACATTCCTTAATAAGGAATTTGAAAAAAAAAAATTCAGAATTGTGAAAATTGTTAAATAAATTAAGGTAAAATTTGATATAAAAAATTCAAAATGAGTGTCATTACTATTACTGATCAATAAAAATATCTACCAAAAAGGAGGGGGAAAGAAAAGCTTTCATTTTATGATAAAAAATTCATTTATACCTGTTATTTCACAAAAAAAAAAAGAAGAAGAAAACCCGGGATCGGTTGAATTTCAAGTATTCAACTTCACTAATAAAATACAAAGACTTACTTCACATTTTAAATTACACCCAAAAGACGATTTATCTCAAGGAGGTTTACGTATAATTCTGGGAAAACGGAAACGACTATTGTCGTATTTGTCAAAGAAAAACAAAATACGTTATCAAAATTTAATAAATCGGTTGGGTATTCGGGATTCACAAATTAGGTAATTTAAAGAATCATTTTCAATTATTCGATTTATTAGATACTGAATTTTGATGAACTTTTTTTTTTGAACGATTCATGGAAGAATGAATCGAGGAAAAACCTATGAATATCCCAGCTACAAGAAAAGACCTCATGATAGTAAATATGGGGCCTCAACACCCATCGATGCATGGTGTTCTTCGACTTATTGTTACTCTGGATGGTGAAGATGTTATTGATTGTGAACCAATATTGGGTTATTTACACAGAGGTATGGAAAAAATAGCGGAAAACCGAACAATTATACAATATCTGCCTTATGTAACACGTTGGGATTATTTAGCGACTATGTTCACAGAAGCAATAACTGTAAACGGGCCGGAACAATTGGGAAATATTCAAGTACCTAAAAGAGCCAGCTATATACGAGTAATTATGTTGGAGTTAAGTCGTATAGCTTCTCATCTACTATGGTTGGGACCTTTTATGGCAGATATTGGTGCACAAACCCCTTTTTTCTATATTTTTAGAGAAAGAGAATTAATATATGATCTATTCGAAGCTGCGACAGGTATGAGAATGATGCATAATTTTTTTCGTATTGGGGGGGTAGCCGCTGATCTACCTTATGGTTGGATAGATAAATGTTTTGATTTCTGCAATTATTTTTTAACAAGGGTTATTGAATATCAAAAACTTATTACGCGAAATCCAATTTTTTTAGAACGGGTTGAAGGAGTAGGTTTTGTTGGTAGAGAGGAAGTTATAAATTGGGGGTTATCAGGACCGATGCTTCGGGCTTCCGGAATACAATGGGATCTACGTGAAGTTGATAATTATGAGTGTTACGAGGAATTGGATTGGGAAGTTCAATGGCAAAAAGAAGGAGATTCATTAGCTCGTTATTTAGTTCGAATTGGTGAAATGGTGGAATCCATAAAAATAATTCAACAGGCTTTGGAAGGAATTCCAGGGGGGCCTTATGAAAATTTTGAAATCCGCTGCTTTGATAGAGAAAAGGAGCCAGAATGGAATGATTTTGAATATCGATTCATTGGTAAAAAATCGTCTCCTACTTTTGAATTGCCGAAACAAGAACTTTATGTGAGAGTTGAGGCCCCCAAGGGAGAATTAGGAATTTTTCTAATAGGAGATCAGAATGGTTTTCCTTGGAGATGGAAAATTCGTCCACCTGGTTTTATCAATTTGCAAATTCTTCCTCAATTAGTTAAAAGAATGAAATTGGCTGATATTATGACAATACTAGGTAGCATAGATATCATTATGGGAGAAGTTGATCGTTGAAATGAGAATTGATACAACGGAAGTCCAAGATATAAACTCCTTTTCCGGATTGGAATCTTTCAAAGAGGTCTATGGAATTCTATGGATACTTGTACCAATTTTGATTCTTATCTTGGGAATCACAATAAGTGTACTAGCAATTGTATGGTTAGAAAGAGAAATATCAGCAGGGGTACAACAGCGTATTGGACCTGAATACGCTGGTCCTTTTGGAATTCTTCAAGCTCTAGCAGACGGAACAAAACTACTATTCAAAGAGAATCTTATTCCATCTAGGGGAGATATTCGTTTATTCAGTATTGGACCATCCATATCAATAATATCAATTCTAATAAGTTATTCAGTAATTCCCTTTGGCTATAACTTTGTTTTATCTGATTTCAAGATAGGTGTTTTTTTATGGATTGCTATTTCGAGTATTGCTCCCATTGGACTTCTTATGTCAGGATATGGCTCAAATAATAAATATTCCTTTTTGGGTGGTCTACGAGCTGCTGCTCAATCGATTAGTTATGAAATACCATTAACTCTATGTGTCTTATCAATATCTCTACGTGCGATTCGTTGAAACCAAAAAAGTTATTCGATGCTATTGCTATGCTCCTCTCTTTATAGTACTATATAGGAAAGGAGGCGAATCAATTGAATAGAAACCTTCATTATCTTTATTTTTCTCCGATTGAAGAACTAAATTAGATAGTTATATGAGTGAAATAAAACAGCTTATATTGAATAGAATTTCAGAATACTTTCTTACTTCTAGTTAATAGATAGTATGATGATTTTTAATGGCAGTAAAAATATTGAGTCTCATTTTCTATGTATAAGAATGAAATAAAATTATAAACAGAAGAGGCCATTTAACCCAAGTAATTTGTCATCCTGTTTTGAAGCGGGCTCTAAAGACCAACCTTATTGAGTTTTAGTTACCATTTTTATGAATTCTCATAGATATATTAAAATAAATAAGGGGGATTAATAAAAAAGAGTGGATGGTTAGAAACACCAAGATACACAAAGGATTAGTAACACAGATTTTGTAAATTATCCAAAAGACAATTTACGCAGAATATAAAAAGAATACTAATTGGGGCTTTAAGTTGGTAGAAAAAATAAAGCAGTACTCCCCACAACTCCGATCCAGAGTATGCTTCCATCCACTCATTAAATAAATGACTATCAGGAACGAAAAAATCCTTTAAAATTTTTTAAGTCCCTTTTTCATAGCACAAAAAAGAAGAATAGGAACGAAAAAAAAAACATAAGAAATCAAAAACGAAAGAGAAATCTATTTTTCGTTTTTGATTTCTTATATCCATATCCATATTCATGGAGATCAAATCATAATTAAGAAACGAATGTTTAATTCTTTTTCGTAATTCAAAATCATGAGGGCTATTGAGAATTATAAAAGAGTATTTTATTGAAGAATTCAGTTATTACTCAACAAATTTTTATTTTTGAGGGATGAGATCAATTCAGAAGTGCCTTACATTGGATCTTTTATTAAACTATATTTCTCTTTCTTATTTCGTTATTTCTAGAACAGACAGAATTGAATTGGTCTAATTCAGAACCGTTCGATCTATTTTCATCTTCTATATCTTAGGGATATAGCAAGAGAGAAATAATTGACCCGGTCCTTAGATTTACTTAAGGCTTTCCAGGAGCCGTATGAGGTGAAAATTTCATGTACGGTTCTGTAATAGAGATGGGAACAGTAATGTTATCACCGACTAGGATTATCTAACAGTTTAAGTACAGTTGATATAGTTGATGCGCAAGCAAAATATGGTTTTTGGGGTTGGAATTTGTGGCGTCAACCTATGGGTTTCATCGTTTTTCTAATTTCTTCGCTAGCAGAATGTGAAAGATTACCTTTTGATTTACCAGAAGCAGAAGAAGAATTAGTAGCTGGTTATCAAACAGAATACTCAGGTATTAGATTTGGTTTATTTTACGTTGCTTCCTATTTAAACCTTTTAATTTCTTCATTATTTGTAACAGTTCTTTACTTGGGCGGTTCAAATATCTCTATTCCGTACATATTTGTTTCTGAATTTTTTGAAATAAATAAAACATACGGAGTTTTTGGAACTACAATTGATCTCTTTATTACATTAGCTAAAAGCTATTTTTTCTTATTTGTTTCTATCATAACAAGATGGTCTTTGCCTAGGCTAAGAATGGATCAATTATTAAATCTTGGATGGAAATTTCTTTTACCTATTTCTCTCGGTAATCTATTATTAACAACTTCGTCTCAATTGTTTTCGCTGTAAAAGATGGATCTTCTATATTCATTACTTGTCTCAAATAAGAGAAAGAAATAAAACAAAACTATTCATAGATATTTACGATATGTTCCTTATGGTAACTGGGTTCATGAATTATGGTCAACAAACAGTCCGAGCTGCAAGGTACATTGGTCAAAGTTTCATGATTATCTTATCTCACGCAAATCGTTTACCTGTAACTATTCAATATCCTTATGAAAAATTAATCACATCAGAACGTTTCCGCGGTCGAATCCATTTTGAATTTGATAAATGCATTGCTTGTGAAGTATGTGTTCGTGTATGTCCTATAGATTTACCCGTTGTTGATTGGAAAATGGAAACGGATATTAGAAAGAAACGATTGCTAAATTACAGTATTGATTTCGGAATCTGTATTTTTTGTGGTAACTGTATTGAGTATTGTCCAACAAATTGTTTATCAATGACTGAAGAATATGAACTTTCAACTTATGATCGTCATGAATTGAATTATAATCAAATTGCTTTGGGCCGTTTACCAATGTCAATAATTGATGATTATACAATTCGAACAATTCAAATCAAATAAAAAAAGACAATTTTTTATAATTTAATAAAATACAATTCTAAAAAAAAAAAGAATATTCTATATATATATAGATTTCTATATATATATAGAATATATATAGAATATATAGAATAATCGAAATAAAATATTTTCAAAAATTGTATAAAAAATGAATCATATAATCGATATTGGATTAGAAATATTCTCTAATTATTAGAGAAATATATTCTTAAATAGAATAGAGAAATATATTATCGAAATTTGAAATATTCTTTAATTTAAAGACTAGTTCAAATGGTTATATATGTTCTATCTACCTTTATACTTTAGTTTTAATATCGTTTCAAACTACTCTTTCGTATAAAGAGTAGTTTAAGTGGAATGACATTGATTATATAACCGTAACTATATCAATTTAAACTACTTAGGTTTTTTCAATGCAAAGAAAAATTTAAGTATATAACAATTTTTTCCTGGTCATATCAATAAGGTCATGAAATTTCGATTTCTTTGTCTTTTTTTTTTTTACATATAATGGATTTGCCTGAAACGCTGCACGATTTTCTTTTAGTCTTTCTGGGATCGGGTCTTATATTAGGAAGTTTAGGAGTAGTATTACTTACCAACCCCATTTTTTCTGCTTTTTCGTTGGGACTGGTTCTTGTTTGTATCTCTTTCTTATATATTTTAGCAAACTCGCATTTTGTAGCTGCATCACAGCTACTTATTTACGTGGGAGCTATTAACATTTTAATCATATTTGCTGTGATGTTCATGAATAGTTCCGAATATTACCAAGATTTTCATCTTTGGACCATAGGGGATGGAATTACTTTGATAGTTTGTACAAGTATTTTTGTTTCACTAATAACTATTATTTCAGATACATCATGGTACGGAATTATTTGGACTACAAGACCAAATCAGATTATTGAACAAGATTTGATAAGTACTAGTCAACAAATTGGAATTCATTTATCAACAGATTTTTTTCTTCCATTTGAACTAATTTCAATAATTCTTTTAGTTTCTTTGATAGGTGCAATTGTCGTAGCTCGCCAGTAAGAAATCTTTAGAGAACTACTAATATAAATCAAGACTATATATATATATGTATTTTTTTTTTTTCAATGTGAAGTGAAAGAGTTTTTAGGTAGAAATTCTTTTTTTTTATTGCCAATATATTCTTTTGTTGCAGACTTGTTATATTCTTTAGTCAATTGAATCTGTTGAATTGTTGTTCATATTGAAATGAATCAAAATTGATAAGGAGTTGGTCAATGATGCTCGAACATGTACTTGTTTTGAGTGCCTATTTATTTTCTATTGGTATCTATGGATTGATCACGAGCCGAAATATGGTTAGAGCCCTTATGTGTCTTGAACTTATATTGAATGCAGTGAATATAAATCTAGTCACTTTTTCTGATTTTTTTGATAATCGCCAATTAAAAGGAAATATTTTTTCAATTTTTGTTATAGCTATTGCAGCCGCTGAAGCGGCTATCGGACTGGCTATTGTTTCCTCAATTGCTCGTAACAGAAAATCAACCCGTATCAATCAATCGAATTTGTTGAATAAATAGCATGAATCATATCATAATTAATAAAAAAGAAACAAAGTAGAATTTCAAATAGTGTAATATTAATCAATTCATTTTAGTATTTATTCGACACAACTTATGATCATATCATGTTTGCATTCCCTAAATCATAAGAAATCAAAGTATCCTGGTCCTCTTCTATTTCCTCTTCTAAATTTATCTAGACGCCTTTTTTATTAACAGTTAACAATATTATCACAAATCATTGATTCATCTGGTATATAAATATACGATTCATTTACGAGTTTACTAGATCGATAATTTTCATTTTTGAACATCAAAAATTACTATAGATATAATGTCACATTCAGTAAAGATTTATGATACATGTATAGGATGTACTCAATGTGTCCGAGCCTGTCCCACAGATGTATTAGAAATGATACCTTGGGATGGATGTAAAGCTAAGCAAATAGCTTCTGCCCCAAGAACAGAGGACTGTGTTGGTTGTAAGAGGTGTGAGTCCGCTTGTCCGACAGATTTCTTAAGTATTCGAGTTTATTTATGGCATGAAACAACTCGAAGTATGGGTCTAGCTTAT